TAGGTTGATAAAACTATGTGTTTGTTTAATAAATAAGTTAAATTATATATTTTAATAGTGTTTAAAAAGTGAGAACAGGTTATTTAGTGAATTTTTGTCGCTGTAATTGCCCATAGAAAACAACCAAATTTAACAAAAGTTTTTTGCTTATAACTTTTAAATGGTTAATAATATTAGCCCTCCCCCTCCGGATTGTTAATAGGGGGACCGGCACGCGTCGTTTGGTACCTCTCCCGACTTTTCCGGACCTTTTTTAGGGGTTGTTACCCTATACTAGAGAATTACCGCCATTATTCCTATAAAATAAAAGTTTGTAAGAGTTAACTGATAATAAATTACACTTGCTTACCAGGAATTACAAAAAGCGCGAATTTATGGTCAATTTCTATTGAAAAATCGAACGTCAACATATACATACGAGAGACAAAAGAGAATAATCAGAACAAAATGTGAGAAAGAAACACAACTTTTACAGGACAATTAAAATGAAAAGAGACAATATAAAGGGTATTCAACTGAAATAAAGTATAAAGTCCATATGAAAAGCAATTTCAAATAATCGGGAAAGGATCGGCAAAAAAGTTCCGATGCCGATGCCGATGCTAAATTTTGTACCGATACTTGCCGATGCCGATTAATCGGTCGGACTCAACACTTTAGTATCGATACGAAAACCAGTTTCGGTACCGCACAATATATGTATTGTATTAATTCACGTTGATGGTGCATCTACGGAATGGTGCATCTAACGAAACGAATCTTGCAACATAAGGCTACGCCCATGTGCATACATGTACATATATACATATGTATACACGCAACATATTTTTGTACCGATAAGAACAATTTGATACAATTAAGCACTTGTACCCAGTGATGGAAAAGTCGGCACAATAGTGGCATTTTCGGCCCTATCATTCTCAGAGGCACTTTTGGCACAATTCTTCCTGTTTAAGCACAAACATAAAATATAGAAGTTTAGCATAAAATGCCAATGTATAACAAGAAATTACATACCACATTATAGATTAAAAAATTACAAAAAGTGAAAATTAAATGCACTTACAAATTAAAATAAATAATATAAAAAAAACTGTTTAATATACAACTCTTTTATAAATGGATTAAAAAGTAGAAAATAATACTTCTCAGTCCCATAGAATTTGTTTTGATAACTTTTGATTTTGAAATTTTAGCAAAAGTCATTATAAACAATCTATGAAATTGAAAATGAAAAACGTGGAGCGCATGCAATACAAAGCATTCGATTTAATTGACAATAGTCA